AAGCGCAAAATTAAATGCAAATGCAACGTTCACTAGGATTCTTTGTACTAATGTGTTGGTCATTTGTTGGCTGAAAAAATGTCTAGTTGGTTCAATTTCATGTTTTTTATTGCAGGTGCCAGAACTTGCATGCACTTCTGCATGAGTTATCGAACGAAGGAGCCAGAGAACAGTTCTCGAATTTCCTGGAGGAGATTATACTTCCTCAATTAGTTGCGAGTACTGAAGTGAGTCCATGGCAGCGTCACCAGTCCTACTATGTGTTAGTGACGCCTTTTCAGCATGGTGAACGAGAATGTCACATAGTTGTATTACTCGATGAAGATGTGGTCGATTGGGATGACGAGTACCCGCCACAAATGGGCGAAGAAACCACCCATGTTGTGTACAGTTCGCATTTATACAAGTTCTTCAAGTATGCCGAAAATCGAGACTGTGCGAAACAGGTGAGGCATTATTATAGCCGATGTTCCGTGGATTCAGGAAGTTGAATTATATTTTTTTATGTATTTTATTTATTAAATAAAGATAAGTAAATAAATCAGAAATGATGTGGGAATTAGTCCCTTGGAAGAAATTCTATGATTAGATTGCTGAGTTCAGGTATTGAAGTCAAGAGGTTTGAAAAAGATTCGACTCGGGTATGGAGGGCTATCCGACGCACAAGGAGAAAGTGAAGAAGCGTTTCAACAAGGCCGAAGGTTAGTCTCTGTGAAGGAAATGGTTTCACAATGGCAGCGATCACGATGACTGGGAGGCGGTGCGGTTTTATGGCGTCATAGAATGTCATTGATGGAACGCCGTTTGATGTCTAGTCCTACCAATGATGTTCGAGGACGTCATGACAATTCCGGGCACCCCCACTAGCCGTGGTTTTCGTTGCCTTCATATAGCTATTGTACCTTCCGGACAAAAAGTCACAGTGAAGAATTAACAGCTTAGGAATAGCTTAATGATTTGGTTGTGCTCGTATTAAAGCGAATATTCTGTAAAGATTATTACGGGAGGTTGGCTCATTAGGCCAGGGACAAGATTCCCGAAGGGTAATAAAACTGCAAATTCAAGCGCCGAATGCATACCTTCATTTAGGCGTATGTGAATGACGAAAGTCCATTACCGTGGCTGTTCTCTGTTCTCATGCTAAATAAATGCCAAAGATAATCAGCTGCTATACTTGCTGATAGCCATGCTTAACACGGGAAGGGGTCGTTGTGCGGTACCCTTCTGCTAGCTCACTAAGAGGGCTACTAGCAACCCATTTCCATTCGAATGTGATCGTATTTTCGGCCATCAGCTAAAGCTTCGTTATTAACAGCGATTAGAGGAGGGTTGGAGCACTGATACTAGTTTTCCGTGAACTACGTTCTATGATTCCAGGAACGTATAAAAAGCTTCTTGAATGAAAATCAAGGCACATTCAGCAATTACCTGAAGGCTTCTGCTTTCAAAGGGGGAAACAGATTGTGGGGACTATTCCACCAGTGGTCAAAGCAAGTGAAAAATGTCAAAAACCCCTGAACTCACATTGCGCACCGATGGTGTCTGCGGGGGGTTTAATTCCTCACCAAATCGACTCTAATCATATAGATGGTTTGCCACTGGAGACTTCCCCGTGCGATCGCAAATATAAACCCCGTCTTGACGATTAGAACACTTTGGGGTTTTAAGACTTCTTAACGGTTTTTTTTCGCTTTCTTTCGCTACTCTTTGACCAATTACCTCAAATGCGGTCATTTTGGCTCTGGTCACGTCATGTAGGCAATAATGCGAATTGTATACTATGTTAATTTCTAGAGGCGTTTATTGCCATAAAAACAATCGCTGCGCAGTATTTGGAGTCATAACTCATTTGCAAACACTGTCAAGGCCTTTCTTCTGAATATCAAATTTAAAATAATTCATTTAAAAATTCACATTTAGTAGTATTAGCTATTTTCCAACAAATACTTCTATTTTAGTAATCTACAACTACGTGCAACGTCCCTTCGTTCACTGCTCATGGGAGAAGGAAGAGGCACGAAGCCGACACGTTGATTTTGCTTGTCCTATTGTGAAGGTGAGCACATTGGCAATGGCATAAATATGACCGCTGGTTTTTTCAGTTGGCTCATTTTTGGAAATTTATTTTTTTGTATTTCAAACGCTAATCTTTCTCGTACGTGTTGCCCCCAATGATCAGGACGGTGCCATCGTAATACACACCAAAATCTATTTTTCTTGAAGTATTTTAAGCTTTCTTCATCTCATTAGGATCACATTTATCATTTTTGGCCTTCATTCAAGTTGACTACGAAATCCATGTTCTTCCTTTTCCACTTTAGTTGCTTTTTTGTGGCATGGTCAAGTATAGCAATGCGTCTTGTTACGAACTCAACGTCGTAGGAACGTCTCAATTTTTGGGTTACTGAACTTCTCAACCAAGCATTGTGACCAAGCTGTACTTCACCTCAGGCCGTATTTTTTACCATTAGTGTAGGGCTGTGCGGAAAAAGGGAATGTCTTGTTCCACAGAAACTTGACTTATTATCATGGCAATATTTGTTTATTTATTTATTTATTTGCTTATTTATTGGATGCATCTGGAAAGCGCACCACATCGTCTTCTAGAGCCGCAGATACCATTGTGAATCTATTAAGAAGAAAAAATTAACAATTTTAAAAAAAACCTCTCTTGGAACTATTGGGGGGGTTTAAAGTGTGGAGAGAAAAACTGATAAGTACCTCGTGTTCATAATTTTCAAAAATGTATCGAAAGGCATGAATTTTGAAAAAAGAAAAGTAAAGCGTAAGTGTGTAAGATAAAACGAGAGAGCTTGTGTCGACCCTACCGTTGGTATTTTTCGAGAAATTTTTATGACCCCCTCCTCTATGGAGGATTTGATATGACCACACCGTCACCATGAGACTCAAGAGGCTCCCCCCTCACCCCATTGGTACTTGTCGCAACATAGGGTTTACCCTGCCTGTAGAACAGGAGGTTAAAGTTATAATCTCACCCGATTCAAGAGTAGTAAAAGTGGAGTAGTTCAGAATATTGTTGTACCACTAAAATTGTTGAAGCAGATTTCGTCGCATGGGTAGGAAAGTGGAATATGTCTTCGGTATGCCGATGAATTGCGTTCTACTCTTTACCCTCTTTACATTCGAACCTTTCTCCCTTTCGCCGTCCCGTTCCCATCGTTCTGTGGAACTAATTCTCTTCTTTTCTGGAGAGCTTGATATTCCAGTTCTTTAGATTACTATGTTCTTTCAGTTCTCATCATTTGAATTCAACCCTATTCTGTAGTACCCAGTAGAAGATAATAATTGAAGAACCTTTGAGTCCATCTGAACTTATTTTCAGTCGAAGTCGAACCCAAGCTTAGCTGCTGCTGCCTCGGATCCGCTGCCACAACCAGCTCCGCTGCATCAACAACGTGATCACAACCTTCTTGGAGTGAATATCAATCAGCATCAAGTACGATTTACAATATAATATTATTGATAATCAATTCTTTGCTGAAGTATATGAATTCAGCATGTGCAACCACTTCATTCACCACCGGTAAATTTTCATCGCGATCGAGGCGACCCAGACATGCGAGACGAGGAGTAGCAAACAGATTTCGATAGCTGCGTGGCGTCCGAGATGTCATGTCAATCCGTATCGTAATTGCTAGTAGCGCTTCCACATCAAAAAAATCGCTGACGCTTCTGTCAAGGTGGCTTCAGCAATCCCTCTGTCTCGAGAAGTAGTAATGCCAAGCCTACGCGCGTTGCTTTGTATACAACTGTTGAATGTCGTTCCTAATTCTTCGCCTTGTATCTATTGAATCATCAGTTCGTCTTCAGAAGTTGACTTCGATTGGTTTCGAAAGAGCATCGCTGAACAACCTTAACATTTATACTTACTTTGGTGCTTAATAAGTGCGAATTCAACCAACATCCGTTCATGTAACAGTTACGGTGCTTGGCTTTCATTGAGTCGATTGCAACAGAGTTCCTGAGAGGCGAATTTTAAGGGGGTGGGCCAAGCTGTATTTCGCCCAGGGTTAACCTTGGTTCGCTAAATTTTAGATATGCGATCACCACCCCAGTTGTGATGGTGCTGATAGCGTTGTCGAACCACATGGCCTTATACAGACTGACTTTTATCCAACGCCAACTTCGCCCTCTCCCTCCACTGGCCCTTCCAACTCCCAAGAAAACCCGCGATTGCGTAAAGCTGGTAGGAGACTGTAGATTTTAAAACAGGAGTACAAATCGCGCCAATCATTATTTTTCTAGAAACTTTTCCTTTTTTTCCGTGTCTTCCTGAAGTAATACTTCCTCTTCAAAATCACAATCAAATTGTCAAGGCTCTCGTCTGGTTTCAGCGGCCAAACGGACAGCTAACCCTAATACCACTTTTGGTAGTGCCTAGAATGTTGGTTGAGTCGCTGCTTATGATATGCACTTGCAAGTTTTTGACGTTCCATCGTCGAATTTCATCCAAACAAATGCGACCATCGATCGATAACTACTTGAATCAGCTCTTTTTCAACCAAATGACATGTACGCGGTGTTCACTTTGTTCCCATATTGGGTAATCAGCTCTCTTCAGAAGACTCGCTGTGGAATTTACACATTTTATGTGCACGTTTTTTCTAGTGCTCTGTTAGGATACTTTCGGTGTCGTGATGATATTATCATATTTCATCACCTGCTCCAACCCAACTCCGCCCTTCTCCTCCTGCCTTCAACCGGGCCACGGACAAAGCAAATGTTGACAAGGAGGAAATAAAGACAAAATCTATTCGTCAACCCAAGACAAATTTAATTCTACGGAAATCGCCTTTTTCGCTTTCGTCTTCACATACCCGAAGTCATTTCCAAGCAAATAGATACATCTACATCTAGGCAAAACACAATCAATGAAAGCTCTCTCGTCGCCAAACGACAGCTAACCTATACCATATTGGTAGACCGAGAATGTTGGTTGAGTCATGCTTCTGATATGCACTTGCAATTACGTCCTCGTCGAAGTTATTACGAAATGCGACCATCGATCGATAACTACTTGAATCAGCTCTTTTTCAACCAAATGACATGTACGCGGTGTTCACTTTGTTCCCATATTGGGTAATCAGCTCTCTTCAGAAGACTCGCTGTGGAATTTACACATTTTATGTGCACGTTTTTTCTAGTGCTCTGTTAGGATACTTTCGGTGTCGTGATGATATTATCATACCATCCACCGCATGATTTTCGTCACGGGACCCTCTTTCATGCCTTGTTGAGGGCTTGTGCCATATGATTGTTATTATCATGTTACGTGTTGCGGGAATGTCCCAGATTCACAGCCCAGCGAACGACGAACTGTTCCCCTTCCGCACACTGGTTTCTTCATATTATATAACTATATATTATATACAATGTGCTCTGTATCTTATCCAATAACATTACTTATAAGAAATCGTTCGCATGGCACTGGTGTAATTTTAATGTCTAAGAATATACTACTGCGTCCCATAATTATAACTCCACCCAAGAATTTCCAAAATCTCACAAATTTAGATGTTTTAGAAAAAGACTCCAATGTGGCAGTGTGGTAAATACAGGTACGAAATCGCCTGTAAACATCAACTTCCAACTTGAAATCCCAGGAATTTTTTCTGGTAATTTTTGTTCAAAAGGCCACTTAGCCGACGTCCCAAAATTATAACTCCACCTCATGTTTTTCTATTATTTTTCACTTCCGTTTCGCCAAACTTTTTTATTGTGCTAACATCCTACTTCTCAAGGGGACAGTATGATAGAAAATGCTGTCTGACTTTTTAAAAGGTCAGGTCGTCGCAAAAACTACTAATTAGGCAATCGCACAAGATTTTGACCAAATTCACGAGGAGCTCGAGAATTTTTCAGGGATTTTACATGATATGGAGTTGAGAAGAGCTCCAAAGGATCTCCCCTTGCTTTTCGGTAGAAACAAAGGCCGTGTCACAGAAGAAACATCCTTTTTTATGAAGCCGTGCTCTGCCATCAAATCTTCTTCGGTCTCAACGGAACAATGTTTTTGCTTGCGAATAAATCCCAAGTTGATTCTCGAGTGGAAAACGTGGAAGGCATCATCTGTGGTAAGAAACCATGGCGGAATTCTTGCTGAGTTTTCCGGAAAGGTGCATCCGAGCCGACTGTAGTAAGGTTCGCTCTTACTTGCGATTCATTACTGATTGTCTGTCTTTCTCTTCGGCATTTTCTTTCTCCTGGTAGTGCTTCGCGAAGAGAAAAGCTACTAAGGATGAGAAAAGCACGAAAAGAAAAACAAACAAATGCTAAAACATATCGAGCAAAAGCGAACCTTACTCCAGTCGGCTCCGTTGCATCTTTCTGTGAAAATGGGCTCAATTTTCGCCATGGTTTCTTGCCACAGATGATGCCTTCCACGTTTTCCACTCGAGAATCAACTTGGGATTTATTCGCAAGCAAAAACATTGTTCCGTTGAGACATTAAGTTCCGAAGAAGATTTGATGGCAGAGCACGGCTTCATAAAAAAGGATGTTTCTTCTGTGACACGGCCTTTGTTTCTACCGAAAAGCAAGGGGAGATCCTTTGGAGCTTCTCAACTCCATATCATGTAAAATCCCTGAAAAAAATTGTCTTTTCCTCGAAAATTCGAAAGTAATTGATTCCATGAAACCTCAACTAATGACATTTCTAGAAGTGCAAAGAAATTTCGAAGTAACTGCCATTAGTTTTGATACAGGCCTCAAATTGTTTCTTCAGCGAGTCGATGGTGCGGCGGAGTTGATCGCATTATCATTCCGAATTTCAGACAGTTCTTATTGAAATCACCAAACTTTTTGCATTTCGATTCTTTAGTAGTTCTTCAATAAAACCCCAAACAGAGAAGTCTAACTGATCCGAATTCGGACTGTAGGAAGACCACGAATCCTTCGCCAGAAAACAGCCGATACTGGTCTCGAAGAAGTGAATCGTTATATTGGCCCATGGGCCCAAGCGAACTCCTGTAGAATGATAGAATTGTTTTAATTCTGCTTTCATGGAATCGCAGCTTTCTGAGGACCTCTTCTTGATAGACCTTCCCATTGATTTCCCACACTTATCGATAAAACCTGTGAAGGCTTGCCCTAAACACTGATCCAGCCTCAAATCATCAAATTTTCCAAGGGACGAAATTGCTTACGGGTACTTTTCATTACGGATGTTACTGAGTGCTGGGACTAATGATTAAAAGTGATTCCGAGAGAGGCGCTCAAATGGTGACTTTTATTTGTGAAACCACAGGGTCGCTTGGAACGACGCACTTGAAAATATAACTTCCTACATTTTTCTTTCCGATCTTGCTTTGCTTGAACGACGGGAGCTGCCTTTTGGTTTTTGATAGCGTCCATTTCGTGGTTTATGTTTGCTATCATTTCGATCAGGTTCTCGAGAAGTCGTACTGTTCGGGATCCTTA